ATCATGTAGGAAAAAATGTTTTTTGAGCGCGAAAAGGTCAGTTTACCTCAAAAACCGAGGGATTTTGCAACACCAATATCTCAGTCCAGGAAAATTTGCGCACTTCTGCGCATTCACCATAGATGCACGGTCTCGCGAGGAACATTTTGGTATAAAAATATGTTAGTTCAGCCCTGCGCGTTCTCAAAATACCGGAGAGAGCCTTTACAGCCTAGACCGTTTTCGAAAGCATCCATTCGAAAACTCTTAAGTTTCACTCGAAAAATAACATTCTTTTTCCTTTCGTATTCGTCTGACGGTGCTCTTCCCGAATATGATCTCAGTTTTATTCTAATTTACTATCGTTCAATAAAATCGAAATTTTCCGAAAAAATAACGCATTTACATGATGTTTTTCCATTACAAACCTTTCACCACCAATGCAGACTTGTCTTACAACATGCGAATTTTGAGAACTCTAGTGCGAATTGCGGCTTATCTTCCAAGTTGAGAATATCAAGAATTCTACTGCAAATCGGTACTTGTATTGCAACTTGATAATTGTGAGAACTCTGGTGCAAATCGAGACTTGCTTTGCAAGTTCAGCATTTTGAGAATTCCAGTGCAAATCGAGAAATCTGTTGCAACTTGAGAATTTCCAGAATTCCACTGCAAATGCAGAACTGAGACTTGTTTTGCTACTTGAGAATTTCGAGAATTTTGAAAATTCTAGTGGAAATCAAGACTTGTTGTCCAAGTTGAGAATTTCAACAATTCTAGTGCAAATCGATACTTGTATTGCAAGTTCAGCATTTTGAGAATTCCAGTGCAAATCGAGAAATCTGTAGCAAGTTGAGAATTTTCAGAATTCCAGTGCAAATGCATTATTGAGAATTGTTGTGCTAGTTGAGAATTTCGAGAATTTTGAAAACTCTAGTGGAAATCGAGACTTGTTTTGCAAGTTCATCATTTTGAGAATTCCAGTGCGAATGCAGACTTGTTATGCAACTTGAGAATTTGTAGAATTCTAGTGTGAATTGTGGCTTATTTTACAAGTTGAGAATTCTGAGAATTCCAGTGCAGACCGAGACTTGTTTTGCAAGTTCAGCATTTTGAGAATTCCAGTAGAAATCGAGAAACGTGTCAGAGGTTGAGAATTTCCAGACTCAAAAAAATTTTTTTTTTTTTGAAAATTTTAGTGCAATTCGAACCTTGTATTGCAAGTTGCGAGTTTTGAGAAATCTCTTGCAAGTCGAGAATTTTGAGAATTCTGGTTGGAAAAAAACAGTGTACTCGTACGCTCAGAGGACAAATTCTGTTAGAAACACTGGCGAGGGTGATGAACAGAATAAAAAATGGAGAGAGGACTAAGACGGTGGTAAATTTAAAAAAAATGAACCAGTCTATAAAGCATTCCACTACGCGTTTCGGCCTTGCTTAAGAGCCTCGTCAGGTGGATTATCGAGGTTTTTTGTTCAAGTCATATTGGCACAAGCAAACAATATGACTTCTTCTCTTACTCGATTGAGAAGTGATCATCGTCCTTAAGTTCATATTCTTATAGGAGGATCACAGTTTTCTCGATGTACAACGGAGTACGTTACTGTTCATTACTGCACTTATTCCGTTTTCATGCCCTTCTTCTGTCATATTCATTTTGTAGAAGTATGACTCATCTCTATCGTTTCATGGATGAGAGAATTCAAATTGTTCTGTATGAATTTCAGTATTGGAATGGTGTTCATTATCGTTCCAATGTGTTATTTACCGAATTCAACAGAACAACGTTGTTTTAATAGCAATGCGATGGTGCATATCATACGGAGAGATCACATCCAATGATTCGCGACAGTGGATGTCATACCATATCGTTAGAGAGGATCAATGACTAGATAACGTAGAGGTGCACGGTCGGAAACATAATTCAACTGAAATGTTTTCTGTACGTCTACAATCAACAAATATTTCTGTGAAGGACTGGTATATGTGAGCCATTTTGTCCTGTGTTATATAAATCAAGTTCCTCCAGTGAAGGGTCGAGTGAATCAAAGATAAGCCTAATTTGCTTAAAATTAAAGTACGAAGACTTTTGTAGAATTGTTAGACGAATGTATGAGTTTATATTACTATAATTATTTATATTTTGTGTTCGTAATCTCTTGCTTTATCTCAACTGACAATTTTTTTTGAAGACGAAAGCAGAGAAGGACCAAAGATGTTCCGAGATTTTTATTATTGGAAAAAAATACGTGTTGTCCCGGGAAACTATTCAATTTTGTATTTGTTTTTTTCTGACTCCACAACTCTTGTTTCGCTTTTGACTTAATAATCTTAAACAAAAAGTTTCGACGAAATTTTTTTATAATTTCAAATAAATTTTCCGTTGGTTATTCAGTTCTCTTTAATTATTATTAAACTAAACTATTGATATTTATGATATTCTGTTTCTTTACTTGATATCTAGTGCGCGCGCTTTTCTGTGCGCGTTTTGTATCTAAAGTTAACGAAAAAAACGAACATTATAAAAAGATATTCATGTTTATCTAGGAAAATTTCTTTATTCTTATATTATTACCTAAGTTTTTTATACTGTAAAATGAAAAAATGATAAACAAAATTTGTCGAATAAAGAGGATAATAGTACAACTGCAATAAGAAAAACGTCAGGCGATCCTGAACAAACACATTGTCTCAATGTCAAATCGAAAAACGTCAAAAATTTGTCATAATCCAATAGAGGAACAATTTCAACCTGCTATCACTGTTCCAAGAACCGAATCAGAATCACTCGAAAGTGAAACAAGAATTGTGCTATCACAAGTCTCACCCTTTGTTTCCCAGAAAGCTTCTCCAATAAGGCAGGAAGTGACAACATCAACCTACGAATGTTGTATATGTTTTGAAAATATTTATACAAGTAATAAACAATTTGGAATACAAAATAATTGTGATCATTTATTTTGTTTTGATTGTATATTAACATGGCGAAAATCTAATTTTGAAGTAGCTAGAAAATGTTGTCCATTGTGTCGTAAAAAATCAACATTTATAGCACCATCGTAAGTATCAATTTCTACAATTCTATAAACTTTAAAATATGCATTTTTATTTTTAGTTGGCGTTGGTTTAGTAGTGATAGTGATAAACGTACAATAATCGATTCTCATAAAATCTATTTAAAAAGTATTCCCTGTCGTACTTTATCGCATTATGGTCAATGTCGATTTGGAAATAAATGCTATTATAATCATTCATCTATAGCATCACGTCGTTATATAACAATACCATCCTATATAAATTCGCCATCAAGTAGCACGAACAATCAACAATTATCCTCATATATGTCAACATTATTTTACACAAATTATGCGTATAACTATGCATCAACAACTCCTTATTTAACATCAGATTCTATGAATGATAATAATGATGATTATAACTTAATAACCACAAGACGAACAAAAACCTATCGTTATCACCCTTATTAAGATATGACTATTGAATCATTATTGACAATTTCATTGAATAAAACATAAAAAAATTTAAGAATAATAGATTCTAGACCAGTATAGATTCACAAATGGTTCACATCAATGCTGTTAATTTTAATAGTTGAATATACGCACTCAAATGTTTAGCAATGTTATAATCAACTTCAACTTCTTGAACAAGCAGACAGAAAGCATCAGTATACAATATACGATTGAGAGAAAACAGTATTTACAAAAATGTTCATATCCATTGTTAATTTCATTTTCATATACGCTTTCATCATGCATACCCGTGTATTTAATCGGAAATTCGACTCTATTTTCAATATGACTATAACAATAACAATAGTGTGTTATATCATTCACTCGACTTGATTCTTGATACAAAGATTTGCGATTTTTTGTTTCACATGCGGCGTTTCAGTAGTACCTTCAAGAAGTAGTATTTTATTATCTAACGGAGTCAAATACACGTATATCTGGATATTGTGGAACAATTGAAAAACGTATCGCTGAGTTATGTACTGTTAGTTTATTGCATGATTGTGTTTCTGATGGGTCCTGCAGTTATAATGCATCGCTAATACATAGTTTTTACTGCCTACAAGAAGACATGTTCCTAGATTACTTCCTCACACTCTCAAACAGGACTTTCTTTCGTTCTGAAAGTGATTCCTGATCGAAAATCCAGTTTCAATTTTTTCTGTTTTTTATAAAGGTTTTCTAAATGCCTTAAGAAGCGGAGTTGTTAGAGACTGTCACTATCTGTTATCTGTGTCCTATTACTTCTCTTCTTGATGATGTAAATTAACAGAATTTTCTTGTCAACATACGACGTGGTGACACTTTGCCCAAAAAAAGTTATAAGCATTTGCCTAAAAGTCTTAAATGCACCATTGAATACATAGCATATTCTATTGTTTGCAGTTTCGATACTACTATCACAATGAATTAACGATGAGATTCGCTAGCCTCACTATTTTCTGTTAGTTAAGTTTAGATGCCCTTAGGTTATTTGTCGTCTTTTCCATATAGAAAAACAATACTTGATGAAAACACAAAGTAGCAGGCTCTATACTGGAACATCGGCCGCACACCTTCGCGCTAGTACAAATATTTCATCTGCTAATGTGAGTCGACAGAAAAGGAAGAGAGAAGAAATTGATTATTAATAATAATGGGCGATTTTACAAAGAACTGGTCACCGTGATATATTGCCCGAGATAAGAAGAGAATAATAAAAAAACTTCAATTAATATTGCTGGCAACCGCATGGAGAAAAACAGTAAGTTCCGAGAATGCCTTAAGCATTTCAATTAAAAAAGTAATTCCTATTGAATCGCATAACAAGAAAATGCGCAAATGTTATGAACCTAAACAATTCACAACAGAATCTTCAATGTTACGATCCAATAGGGTCCTAGTGGAAAATCTATAAAAAGTCCGTAGAATTTTGTCTCGGATTGCATAAAATGGAGGAGAGCGTTCTGATATTTAAACTGAAATCTGCAATGTAGTTACGCCAAACCCGTTTTTTCGAAAATTTGCGTTTCCATGTCCTTATTCCTAGCAGATAAACTTCGTTGTATATAGACTTTAGGACGCGCCGCTTGGGCGTAGCTTCTATTGATTTGCCTACTGACCGGTGAATATGGTGGTATCGTTGCACTCAAACGTTGGCGTTCTCACTCGTGCGCTCTGGTATCTGTTAATCAAATTTCGTATGCTGTGAGTCACTTATAATAGGAAAATTACCTCTTTAAATCCATTCTGCTTTTTAGAAAATAGCCAATGGCTATTGAAAATTAAAGAACTTTGTTAAGGAAGCAGAATAGAAAAGAGATTGGGCAATCCCATGACTATAGCATGGTCCCTTTAAGATCATTTTTAGATGTAACTCAATTTATAATATTTCAGTTTTCGATTGTAAGAGGAACAGCTTAATAACTTTTCGTTTTGTGTAGACAAGAATATGAACTATTAATAAGCTTTCACAAGTAGAAGTTATTCATATTTATTAAGAAATGTAGTGTTGAAAAATATCAGATGATCGACTAGATTCATAAATTCATAAAAACATAGAAGTAAACATAGTCAAACAAATTACATTCGTTTGTGAGTACCA